GGGGGGTCCCCTGGCGGTAGAATCAGAATTCATCTCTGGTGCATGAACAGGCATTTTGGAGCCCACTACCTATGATGGGATACCTTGTGTAACCTTGAGGTGGGGGAAGGGATTGGACTTGCCTCTGCTGGATATGCTTCCCCATGGGAGTCCTTGCCTTCTTGTGGGGAGGAGTGGGGGAGGGGTGAGTTGGGAGGGGGAGGCTGGGGGGCAGGAGGAGGGAAGAGGGGATCTTTGATTGGTGTGTAAAATGAATGAAAAAAATTTTCTTAATAAAAAAAGAAAAGAAATTTTCTATTCATTTTAGATACCAACCACAGATCCCCTCCCCTAATCCTCTCATCACCCTGCCTTCCCTCCCATCCCAGTCCCCATTCCCACCTCCTCTAAGACAAGGCCTCCTGTGGGGAGTCAGCAGAGCCTGAAACCTCAGTTGAGGCAGGCCCAAGCCACCTCCCCTGCACCAAAGCTGTGTAAGGTCTTCTACCATAGACAGTGGGCTCCAGAAAGCTCACTCATGTCCTAGGGATGGATCCTGATCCTACAGCCAGGGGGCCCCTTAAGCAGGCCAAGCTAAACAACTGTCTTGCCTATGCAGAGGGCCTAGTCCAGTCCCATGCAGGCTCCACAGCTATTGGTCCACAGTTCATGAGTTCCCACTAGTTTGGTTTGGTTGCCTCTGTACATTTCCCCATCGTGATCTTGATGTCCCTTGCTCATAGAATCCCTCTTCTCTCTCTTTGACTGTACTCCTGGAACTCTGCCTGGTGCATGGCTATGGATCTCTGCATCTGCTTCCATCAGTTTACCGGATGAAGGTTCTATGATGACAGTTAGGATATTCACTAATTTGATTACTGGGGTAGACTAGTTCAGGCACCCTCTATGCTATTGCTAGTAGTCTAAGGTGGGGTTATCCTTGTGGATTCCTGGCGACTTCCCTATTACCGAGTTTCTCCCTATCTCCATGATATCTCCCTCTATCATGGTATCTCTATTATTGCTCTTCCACTCCATCCCTGTTCCAGCTTGACCATCCCATTCCCTTATGTTCTCAACCCCCATTCCCTGCCCTCCATTGTTCCCCCTCACCCCCAGTCTACTCATGGAGATCTCATTCATTTCCTTTTCCCCAGGGCAATCTATGAGATACCATCTTACACCTGTCAGAATGGCTATGATCAAAACCACTGATAACAGCTTTTGTTGGAGAGGATGCAGGGCAAGGTGAACACTCTTTCACTGTTTGTGGGAGTGTAAACTTGTACAGTCACTTCAGAAATCAGTATGGTGTTTTCTTAGAAAACTTGGAGTCAATCTACCTCAGGACCCAGCAATACCACTCTTGGACATATACTCAAGGAATGCTCAGTCATACCACAAGGACACATGCTCAACTATGTTCAAAGCAGCATTGTTCATAATAGCCAGAACCTAGAAACAACCTAGACATCCCTCAACCAAAGAATGGATAAAGAAAATGTGGCACATATACACAATGGAATACTACTCAGCAGTAAAAAACAATGACATCATGAAATTTGTAGGCAATGGATTGAACTAGAAAATGTCATCCCGAGTGAGGTAACCCAGACTCAGAAGGACAAACATGGTATATACTCACCCATAAGTAGATACTAGATGAAAAGTAAAGGATAAGCAGACTACAACCCACAACTCCAGAGAGGCTAGTTAAATATTTATTCTTCTACTTACAGATAAGCATAGCTCTTACCACCCCTCATCAAAGAAACTTCTCTTTGCAATTGGTGAGGAACATTACAGAAAACCATGACTGATTGAAATGCAGAGAACAAGTGAGCATGTCTAGCCTGGGCCCAGTAGATGTGTCTACAATACAATTCCTACACCTCAGGGAATATCCAAGATGAAGGGGTAGGAAGACTAGAAAAGCCAGAGGAACAGGAAGTGTCCTGAGAGATCATGTCTCCTAGAGATAACACCCATGGGGTCTGAACAACATGGCTGCCTAAACACGACCCAAATGCAGACAATAGACATGCTAACACTGAAGGGGGGGGATCTCTTTCTGGGAGACAAGTTCCTTCTCCAGCTGGCATCAGAGAGACAGCCTTTTCCTTACCCAGCATGATATGGGGGAAAACATATGGCAGGGGTATTGTAAGGGAGCAGAACATCAAATTCCGAATGAGGGCTTGAGCATGAAATATGGAAACAATGAAAATTACAGCTCAAAAATGCATCACTGGCCCGTGCTGGCTTTCCTTCTGCTGGTGAAACCCCAAGAGCTGGAGTGAGTTAAAGCTGGGTTTGTCTAAAGCCGCCAGCTGTTCCTGACTGGTTGTGGCAGGAAGACACTTAGCCATGCTGCTGTTCCATCCCCAGCATTGTTTGTGACAAATCTTGAGCGTCATTCTTGGGGTTCTGTCCACCTTTCCTTTATGGCAGGGTCTCTCTCACTAGCCTGGAAGTCACCAAGTAGAAGTCACAGGCTGGCTGGCCTGTGAGCCCCAGAGATCTGTCTGTCTCTCCCTCACCAGCACTGAGATTACAGATGTGCACCACCATGCCTTGTGTTTTAAAGCCCTTTCTCCTGAGTTCCAGGGACCAAGTCAGGTCCCTGTGCTTGCCTTTGAACACTTACTTACTGATGAGCTGTCTTCTCTGCCTTTAGGATTTTCTTTCCTAGTGGGGGAAAAAAAAAGAAATATTTACTACCTTGCAGATTGGCTCTGCTGCAAGCTGTGCTGGAGAAGGTGCTGTGCTGGAGAAGGTGCTTTGGGTTCCCCTCCACCCCTTCCACATGTGGCTGGCTGAAGCATCCAGTGAGAGGCAGAACTAAAGGATGACACTGAATATGTTGAAATGTGTTTACGGACATGATCCTGGAAGTCTCAATAAACTGTGCACTACAACCAAACCATTTCCCACTGATCATTCCCACAGGGCGGGTGAATGGCCTGGTAAAATAAAAGAATGAACACTGGCTTTGGGATGGAAAAGACCAGAGCTCAAGAGTCTGGAGCATGACTCTCTCTGACAAGAAGCACCCTTATGTCACACTTTCCACAGAGAACCACAGCTTGACTGCAGAGAGTGTGATTAGCAGCAGCCCTGGAGGGTTAATGAGAAGCCCCTATGCCAATGTTAATTTCTGCAGAAGTCTCTTGACAGATTGCAGCAGTTGCAGAAAGGGTTTCCCACCCTGCCCTTCCCTACCTGTAGCCAGTCCCATGCATCCCTTGGAGAAAGGTGCCTTCCCTGCACCAGAAGAGTATCAACCCTTCTCAACAAAGATGGGCACTTGATACGGATGCAAACACACTGAAATGACCCTCATCCTCCATTGGCTTGGAGTCCCCAACCCCTCACCTCCCCCTCACCCCTCCCTTTATATCTTCTGTTGGCTTGCACAGTTTACTGCTGCAACTCAAACCTCCACATCATTGCTCATCATTTCTTCACAAGTCTACCAGTTCTTTGCTCAAAGGAGTATAAAAGCTTTCTCTCCAGTGATTCTTCAACTAGTTCTTTCTTATTGTATGAGGGTTTCTCTGCACATATGAAAATTAAAATGTGATTTTTTTATTCTCTCGTCAATCTATCTCATGTTAACTTGGTTTCTAGACCCAGCTAAAGATCACAACTAAAACCCAAATCAGTTGCAGAAGATCTTCAGCTTCCCCTACAGCTGTTGGCTGTTAGAAACTTTGAGATCCACCTTCAGCTGTTGAGCTGAGAGCACTCCTCTTGGGTAGCTCCAACCGATAACCAAGCATGAGGTTAGCCAGCATGGCTATTCCCATCTGTTGTGTGACTGCTCCTGGGAAGTCAGTGAACACATGTATATTCACCCCAGATAGGATACCACCACCCAGCCAAAGAAGTCATTCTACCCAGGACTAGCGTAATGAATAGATGGGTAGCTCAATGGATCAGAGAGTCTCTGTCCCTAGCTAGCAGTTGTTACTGCTTGCATAGATGGCCTTGGGGAGAAGCTTTATAAATCTTAAAAGTTTCAGAAACTGTCTAAAATGTGTGGGTCTTGTTTATTTCTTATGTTTCATTTACTTCCTGAGTCTTAATGAACTTCACCTCCAGGGCAGACTATCAGTTCAGAGGAAGTAATTACACAACTTCATCTATGGTGGTTTGAAGGAGAACATTCCCAGAGTATTTGAAGACTTGGCCCCTAGTGTATGTTGCTGTCTGGGGAGGCTTAGGAGGTGTGGTTTTGCTGGAGGAAGTGTGTCACAGGGGATGGGCTTGGAGATCATAAGCCTCACCCCACTCCCAGTTTGCTCTCTCTGCTCTGTGACTAAGGTTCAAGATGTGAGCTCTCAGCTTCATGGGGCACTCTTACCCATCTGAAACTGTAAAGCAAATAAACCCTTCCTTCCATAAGTTACCTTGATCATGGCGTTTTATCACAGCAACAGAAAAGTAATTAAGACACTACTCAACACAGGACTCCTGGGACAGGCAGTCTTTGTTCCCTCTGCACCTGAGGAGAGGTACACCACTAGATGCCATTGAAGTGCATGATTCTTCTTACTCAATTCCTAGGTGCTCACCTTTCCCAGATGTTATTTTCCTTTCCAATTTCTTATATCCTAAATCCCCACATGTTGTTTCTAGAAAACATGCCTGACACATTGTGTAGGACATGGTGTTGTCCTACAACATTATAGCCAGAGAGTTAAAAAAAAAAAAGGTCATTATTATCTCTACCATGCACTTAAAAGACATAGGAAGCATGGATCTCAGTTTCAATTGCTATTACCTACTTCCCAGTTGGCTCCTGAAGAGTATGCTACACATGTTTTTCCACATGTGTGGACAGGGTACATGCTCTAAACTGTTGGGTGAGAGTTCATGCTGACTCGAAGGGAAAATGAGTGGTAAGAAGAGGTTAAATAAAGAGATAAAAGTGTATGGAGAAAGAAAAAAGGTTAAGGAAAGAGATAAAAAAGTATGGAGAAAGAAAACAACAGGCAGTCATTTCTACAGAATATATTTACTACTAATGATTACTTATTGATGAGTGTCAGATCTGGTTATGTGAGAAACCTGTTTCTTATGCCCTGCCAAAGAAGACTCGTCTACTAGAATAATTTCATTTTGGTTTCTTTAGACCATGGATTATTGAGTGGTTGGAAATGAAAGTACCTATAGATCCTGGGTTTGCAGAGAGATTCTCTAGGTTTGCAGAGTCCGTGGGTTAACACTAAACTTAAGAAGCACGTGTACACCTTAAATATCACAACCACAATCACTGAAAATACACTCAAGGATGGGGGTGTAGCTTAGTGCTCAGTGGCAGAGCATTTGCCTGGCATGTACAAAATACTGGGTTCTATCCCTAGTATAATAAAAATAAAACCAAGCGAAATTGTGTGTGTATGTGTGTGTGTGTGTGTGTGTGTGTGTGTGTGTGTGTGTGTGTGTTTATAGTTTTGGTTAATCCATGACAAATCTTTTGCATTAGTTATCTTTTTATTAGGACAAAACACTTGGCAAAAGAAACCTAACAAAGTAAGGTGTGGAGGTTTGAATGTAATTGGCCCCCATAAGCTCATAGGGAGTGGCACTACTAGGAAGTGTGCCTTTGTTGGAATGGAGATGACCTTGTTGGGAGGAAGTGTGTCACTGTGGGGGTGGGCTTTAGGTTTCCTATGCTCAGGATACTGCCCAGTGAGTCAGTCGACTTCCTGTTGCTTAGCACCATGTCTGCCTACACGATGCCATGCTCCCCTTCATTATCATAACGGACTGAACCTCTGAAACTGTAAGTGAGCCACCCCAATTAAATGTTTTCTTTATAAGAGTTGCTGTGGGCATGGTGTCTCTTCACAGCAATTGTAAATCCTAACTGAGGGATTATTATTATTATTATTATTATTATTATTATTATTATTATTATTTTAGTTCATCATGCTGTTTAATCTGGCACATTTCCTAGAAAGGCTTGTACAAATACTCCTCCAGCATGTCTCCTAGAGACCATTTCATCCACTGCTCTGTTTGGCCGCTAGCCTCTTGTCTCTCTCCTCAGCAATGGTGAGGCGGATTCCTTTTCCTCGGGGAAGAGAAATCCATGGTTTGTTGCCCTTGCCAATAACAAAAATGTTGGAAAGCCAGGTGGCAAAGCTGTTGCCATTGGCATCTTTTACATGAACCACATTAAAAGAGCCGGGATGTCTTTCTCTGTTGGTGATCACACCAATTCTTCCCAAGTTAGCACCTCTAGTCACCATACACAGGTTACCGGTGTCAAACTTGATGAAGTCGGTTATTTTGCCTGTATCCAAATCAATCTGAATGGTGTCATTCACCTTGATGAGGGGGTCAGGGTAGCGAATAGTGTGAGCATCATGGGTCACCAGATGTGGGATTCCTTTTGTGCCCACAAAGATCTTTCTCACTTTGCACAACTTGTACATGGCCTCCTCAGGTGTTATACGATAAACAGCAAATGTGACATAGATCAGATGGAAGTTCTCTCCAGTCTTGTCAATGCTGATGACATCCATAAACCCAGCAGGGTAGGTTATATCAGTCTGGACTTTGCCATCAATCTTTTTTTTTTTCCTTTGGTTTTTTGAGACAGGGTTTCTCTGTAGCTTTGGAGCCTGTCCTGGCTCTGTAGACCAGGCTGGCCTCAAACTCACAGAGATCTGCCTGCCTCTGCCTTCCAAGTGCTGGGATTACAGGCGTGTGCCACCACCGCCCACCCCCATCAATCTTAATGAAGCGCTGCATGCAAATCTTTTTCACTTCATCTCCAGTGAGGGCATACTTAAGTCTGTTCCTTAGAAAAATGATCAGAGGCAGACATTCCCTCAGCTTGTGAGGGCCAGTGGATGGACGAGGAGCAAACACGCCAGTCAATTTATCCAGCATCCAATGTTTTGGAGCTGCTACACGCTTCAGATGTTTCTTGGGACCATGAGCCATGGCTGCACTGGAAACGGAAAGACTAAGGGATTATTTTGACTCACAGTTCTTGTGTACAAACCATCTTGGCAAGTGACACATGGTGGTAGGAGTGTGAGGCTGCTGCTTCCACCATCAGGAAGGGGAAAATGGTGAATGCTGGTGCTCATCCATAGAATGTTGTTGCCCACAGCTGCAGTGAGTCTTCCCACCTCAATTGCCATAATCTAGACAATCCCTCATAAGCATGTCCAGAGGCAAACTTGCCTTAGATAATCCCACACAGACATGCCCAAAGGCTCTCCCCTCATAGGTGTTTCTGGATCCTGTCAAGTTGATAGTCAATATTAACCATCACATATTTCAAATAAATTATTTCCTGCACTCATGTGAGTTTTTCAAATTTGGTTTAATTTCTTGTATTTTTCAAAGGGAGAAGATATGACACTCTCCTCAAAAGACCCTCCCCTCCCCCCAATATGGCACCATCAATGAAGAATGCTCTTCAGTGGAACAGTGTGCTTACCTGGTACAGTTCTTAAAACACTGGGGGGAGTCCTTCATCTTTGGGTTTAGAGTACTTGCTAAATGTGGAAACTGTCAACTCCCACCACAAATCTGTCAAGTGTTCATAGACAGTCCTGTGCTGTGAGCACCTTAGGAGTACTTATCAGTGACTGGGGTAGGAGGCAGAGGGAAATGAGGCACTGGAACATGAGTCACCCTTGAACCCTTACCACACTACAGTTCTCTTCATCACGTGGCCATTTAAAAGCACACAGCCCTTGCTTCTTGAGTGGTGTCCTCTCTTGGAACCTGTCCACCTCAGGAGTTTCTCCTCCACTAATATTCTAATAGATATGCTGTCTAGGTTTTCTGTCTCTTGAGTCTGTGGGATTTCATTTCTTATTCACAGGACACGAGGTCCCACATCTATTATGACTGATGCTCTAGTAACCTTGTTTGCATCAACAAAGGGGGACTTGGAAACCATAGTCCCAAGTCTCTGTGTACTGCCAGTTCCTTTCTACTGTTACAGAATTTGATCCTGAAGAGTCTTCAGGATTCTTCTGCAAACAAAACAAAACAAAAAACAAAAACAAACAAACAAAAATCACCAGTGACACATGGATGTAGTAGAAACAGAGAAAGTTGACTAAGAAAGAGAATACTCCCAAGCATGAACGGGAGCCAGAGGTCTGGGAAAGGGCAAAGGTACATGCTGAGCCTTTATGTACTCCTGCCTTCTCCAGGAGATCTTGCTTTTGCTCAGGCACGCTCTGTTTGGAGACATACAGGCTTAGTAAGGAAGAGTTTCCAGTCTTTCAGTCAACTGACTTCTTGCACATGTTTTCCAGACCCTATTCCACACTACCCTTGGAGAGTCTCCAAACTATATCTTAGGTTATTTAGGCATATTCTAAGCAAGAGTTGCTCACATGGCAAGTGATTGCCTAGTTAGCAAAGTGATTCCCTGACATGATGAATCCCAGAAACCACGTAGAGTCTGACACACAGTGTATATTCAAATATTTCCTCTCTCCATGCCCTACTCCATTGACAGAAGAACATGTTGAGGGTGGGGCCCCAGGAAGGCACCAGCAGCTTTGTAGGAAAGGCCATTGCTCTCTCACCGTGTGACTCAGTTACTGTTCTATTGCTATGATAAGACACCATGGCCAAGGCAACTTATTAAAAAAAAGCATTTATTTGGAGGCTTACAATTTCAGAAGATTAGAGTCCATAACCAGCATGGTAGGGAGCATGGCAGCAGGCAGACAGGCATGGTGCTGGAGCATAGCCAAGAGCTTACATCTTGATCTACAAACAAGAGACAGAGAGCGTTAATTGGGAATGAAACAGGCTTTTGAAACTTCAAAAGTCACCCCCGGTGATACACCTCCTCTGATAAGGCCATACCATCTAATCCTTCCCAGACAATTTCACCAACCACAGACCAACCATTTCAAACCTGAGCCCATGGAGGCCGTTTTCATTCAAACTACCATACCATGTGATGCCCTCCAGGATGCTAAGACCTACACCAGGTGTAGGTGTCCTTCACCAGAGGCTAAGCAGATGCGGCTGCCATGCTCTAAGACTTCTCAGACACCTGTGGTGGTTTGGATGAGAATGGTGCTCCCCGCCCCATAGGCTTATATATTTAAATACTTGGTCTCCAGTTGGTGGAACTGTTTAGGGAGGATTGGGGTTGTGGTCTTGTTGGAAGAGGTGTGTCACTGGGGCGTTGGCTCTATAGCTTCCAAAGCCTCCTGACATCCCCAGTACACTCTCTCCCTTCTGCCTCTGGTATGAGATGTGAACTCTCAGCTGTTTCTGCTTCCATGAGGGTCATGGACTCTGACTCTCTGAAACTGTAAGCCAAATTGAACACTTTTTTTTTTTTTTTTAAATCTAAGTTGCTTTGGTTCTGGTGTTTTATCACAGCAATAGAAACATAATTAATACATTACTGAAACCGTAAGCTGTGTAAACTTGTCATTCATGTAAATTATCCAATCTGTGGTATTCAGTTATATTAACAGAAAATGAACTGCACTCTTGAACTTGTCTATTTTTCTTCTATACTTTGTGTTGAACAAAACTATTTTCTGTTGGTTTCAACAAAGTGCCAGAGCATTCCAGAGGAAATACTTTTCTCATATAGAAACTGAATTAGATGACACATCTTTTTTTTTCCTGGGGGAAAATTATGTGTCTTGGAAAACAATTTTAAAGTAGGGATATTCCTAGTCACAGAGACTAGTGCTACTCTATATAATAGTATCATGAATCTTAACCTAATCATGTGTTACTTGCAAACTTATTTCTATATGAAAAATGCTCCTACAATTAAATGTTTAACAGTGATGTGTTTTGATATATCTCCTAATAGAGATAAGAAGAAATAAACAAGTCTTTGCGTTGGCATTAGTCATTGCCATGAACAATTCACTGACTTGGTATATAAGCTGTAGGTGACTGATACCGGACATATCCTCTCTCTATATATCAGCTGGCACATTTTCCACTACTGAGCATCAAAGAAATCCCCATGTAAGTGCCACGGCTGTCCCTACTATGGCTCAGGCCTGGAGAAGCTATAGAGAGAGGAATGTTGCATTCTTCACAGAGATGAAATTGTATTTTCTCAATTTGCCAGGCTGAGGGTCTTTCATGTCCAACTACTCTGCTCACCATGCTAGAACTAAACTCCCCTCCCACCTCCCAGATGCCTCTGTACAAAGGAAGAGCATCCTGGAAGTCTGTATCAGTTGGGGTTCTCTGGAGTTACAAAGCTTATGGAATGAAGCTCTTTCTATGTGCATACACACACACACACACACATACATATATACACATCTATACACACACACACACACACACACACACACACACACACACACACACATATATATATATATATATATATATATATATATATATATATATATATGGGATTTATTGGAATAACTTAGAGGCTGCAGGTCAACTACTCTAACAATGGCTAGCTGTAGATGGAAAGACCAAGAATCTAGTAGCTGCTCAGTCCACAAGGCTGGGTGTCTCAGCTGGTCTTCTGTATACACTGGAGTCCTGAAGAAGCAGGCTCCAGTGTCAGTGAAGGAATGGATGTGCTGGCAAGATGAGGGCAAGCAGGCAAAGAAGAACAAAACCTCCTTCCATGTCCTTATATAGGCTTCCAGCAGAAGGTGTGGCTAGATTAAAGATGTGCCTTTCTCCCTCAAGATATGGATTGAAGGCATGTCTCTTCACTCCTCAAGATCCAGATCAGAGGTGTCTTCTCACCTCAAAGGTCCAGACAAGAAGCAGATTCACGGCCGGGCAGTGGTGGTGCACGCCTTTAATGCCAGCACTCGGGAGGCAGAGGCAGGCAGATCTTTGTGAGTTTGAGGCCAGCCTGGGCTACCAAGTGAGTTCCAGGAAAAAGTGCAAAGCTACACAGAGAAATCCTGTGTTGAAAAACCAAAAAAAAAAGTAGATTCACTCACTTTAAACCAAGCAGAATATCTCTCATAGGTGTGCCCTCTACTTCTGGATTGTAGTTCATTCCCGATACAGTCAAGTTGACATTCAAGAACAACCACCACGGAGTCCATTGGGGCAGGATGAAAGGTATTCTAAGAAGAGACACTGTGTCTCTCCCTCTGACTATCAGACTGTAGTGACAATGGTCCCCAAGGAGTTTGAACTTTCCTGGGAGTCTCATGCCAAAGGAAGGAAAAGGCTGGAACCTGATGCTAGCCAAAGAGAGAATCTGTCCTCCAGGAAGAGATTTCACCCAGTTCTGACAAGTTGTCAGACCACCTTGCAGGAGAGACTGGAGCCCAGACAATGATGGGTCAATGATGGGTACCTTGATCAGGACTGCTTAGTAATGCACATGTCTATTTAAATCTAAAGCTGTGTCAAGACACCAAAGATGGACTGGGCGGCAGGTATTTGTAGATCTCTACTTTTCTTTCCAAAATGGCCACAATGAACAAATCTCTCTCTCTCTTCTGCTTTTTGCTATTCTTTGTCTATTTAATTGGCTTATGGGGGATGGGGGGAGCATAGCTTCTTAGGGCTTCCAAAGCCCAGGATCTGACCTTAACAACTTTGCTAACAGAAGTAAAATATAGATCTCTTTACTCCATATTATACATAGCTCAGAGGAGAAAACAGCAGTAAAATGGTTCTACATTTTTAAGATACCACTCACAAATAGATAATAAACAAATAAACAAACAAGTAAATAAATAAATGAATGCTGAGCAGAGCAAGAACTTCAACCAAAGTGGTACCCAGGTGGTGGCTGAGATGTCCAGCGCAACAGCTGCACCCACTCCTAGGCATTCTATAGCCCAAGTCCACCAGATGAGGCTGGGCAGGAGGAATGGTGGGTGCCCTCTAAAGTGATAGGTTAGAGGTCTTCTCTTCAGATGGAACCAACCAAAGGCAGCCACACCCTCCCGTGAGCTGGTCTCATGTAGCCCCAACAGGTCTTGACCTCTTGATCTGCCCACTTCTGTTTCAAAGGTGCTCAGCTTATAGATGTTCACCACCACACTGGTTTATGAAGTGCTGAGGCCCTAAGCTGGAGCTTTGTGTGCTCTAGGTAAGCACTCCCTCAACAGAACTCTTAGGCCCCCATGCTCCATTTTTACATGTAAGTTTGACTTAAACATGTGGTTTTCTTTTAATTACTTTCCTGTTGTCTTTCCCCGGGGTTGGTGTGGGGCTCAGGGCTTGGCCTTGATGAACAGACCACCTTCATCTGTGATCATTGTTGTTCAATTTGCTGCAAATCACTATTGAACCTGTCAAAGAAATGCATTTTACTTAATAGGTTTTCAATACTACCTTTGTCCATTAATGGAATAGTAACCTCCTTGGCTTTAGAGAAGGAAACACTGAACAAGCAAAGGCCTGGTTAGAACGAAGCTCAGCTGACTTACAGACCAGGGAGCATCACAAGTTCATAGCTGGGGCTCCAAGGCTGGCCGTGAAACTGAGTCTCCGAGGGTGAGTCTCTGGTACAGTGCATCCAGCTTCTAATAGGCCCACCTCTACCATTTCTACAATAAGCAGGCATGGACCCTGGCCGGGAGCAGGTTTTCTAGAACTGGATGTTGTGAGCCAGGGTTACACCATTTTGTGAAACTCTATTTTGGCTGAATTGTAAAAAATCCAGTAACTATAGTAAATTGGTGTCTAGAAGTAAATTAACTTCTTTCTTTATACTCTTGGCCACATTGCGGACCCCCAGTAATGGGCAGCCAAAAGAGATGATCCTTCTTGCTGACCAGACATTTTGTGGCTCATATAGGCAGTAGATGTTTGGGTTCTCTAGTTGGGGTTTCTCTGCTCTTTTCTCTCTTATTTCCCCTCTGATTCCTCTATTCCTGCGGGAATCAGCAGGGGCCGCGGATCTATTGCCATCCTCCCATCTACCACCCCTGTTTCGACTTTGAGTGAGTTTTGAGATTTCTTTGCCTTCTCTGGACAGTCTTCCTCTGTGCCTTCCACCAGGTGAGCATCTTGGAAACTCCAGCAATGGGTGGAGAATTTTCCCCAGACCAAACTTTCAGACTCCCTCAAGGGTGGAAGCAAAGATGTCTCTGTCCTCTTGAAGGGCCCTCTCATTGGACAGAACCACTGGTGGTGGGGGTTGGGGGACATCCTCTTCCTTTTTACTTGGTTTCTGTTGAGAAGAATCTCCTTTCTCACTCCTTGCTCACAGCCAAGGCCAGCAATCCTGTAATAGCCTAGAGAATTTCCATCATGTCCTCTCAAAATGTTTCTACCATAACACTGATTCAGGGGAGATTCAGGACTTGAAAGTATTTTTAAATGGACTGGAACAGAAGCTCACAGACAATTTTATTAGTGTTTAAAAGAAAAATTCCTGGGGCAGACCATACAAACCTCAGCAGCCTCTGGGAGGAAAATGGAGTCGCTGGGCAGTCAGGAGGTTTAATTTGGCATGGAAGTCCACAAGGTAGAGATAGGCTTTGTGGACTACATGAAGGGTAAGGAAGCCCAAAACATTGGAAACCCAAGGCATTAAGGAAAGAATGCTTAGAAAGGAAGAGAAAAAGGAAATTACGCTTCAGGAAAGTGGGCTGACATATGAAACTGCTTGGCTGCAGCCTGGTAAGTTATTGCCTTGGGAGCAGGGATTCTGGGAAGGAAAGTAGAGTATCTTATCAAAGGACCAGTTCTTTCATGGTTTTCTTCAACAAGGCTTAAGGTGAGCCTGTCTACTGAGGGGTGGTCACTTGGCCAGATGATTGACTTGGCCCAACTGGAATGTTAGGCTCCACCCAGACCAGAGGTTATGTTCTCTTGACTACAAGGAGTTTCCTGCTAGCAGGCCTTTACTGTGTCTCTGACATCCCTTCTGAAGAGGTAGCCCTAGCATCATAGGAATCAGACCAGAGAGCATCGCCTCCCAACAGCCTGGCAGCCCTGGCCTCTAACAAGAATGGGATTGACAAGAGGCCCAAAGATATTTGTTGGCTTTTAGCCGGGAAGGAAACTGGTTACTTTGTTTTGGAGGGTGGGGGGCACTTTTTATCCTAAACTGCCCAGTCAGTTTCTGTCTCTTGTTCTTATTGTTGCCTCTGAAGGGGCAACCCCAATGGCCATTGTGGCATTGGGACAATGACCAATCTGGCTTCTTACAACTGATGAGGGTCAGGTGTGGAAGTCAGGGAACCCCTTCAGAAGGTGCATGAGTAGTTCTATTTGTGTGACAGCCAGGTGTAAGGAGGAAAGCAAAGTCTTGACTGACGCTTGAAAAGAGCTGTGAGGAAGAAGTCAAGTAAAAAATTATTAACATGTCAAGTCCTAGGCAGGGAACCAGAAGAAGCCAGGAGAGAGGAGGGTTGTCAATCATCCGAATCAAAGTCAAATACAATCTCTTGATGGGCCCTTCCTGATTTTTTTTTGACAACCAAGACTAGACTCAAGAGTGATGAATCCAGGATCTGTTTTCAGGCTCCTTGATAACTATTGGAATGGCTAGAGTCATTGTCATGTCCCCTCCAACATGACTTCTAGAGAGGCAGAGAGAGAAGATATTTACCCATCACTCAATTTTTAGGTTAATACAATAGAAGGCTTGTCTCTCCTGGCTGCAGGTAGGCACTGTAGTGTTGATTTGAGCCAAGATCTGCAATCTTATATCTGGGCAATATTTTCCTTATCAAGAAGAAAATCATTAGTGAGAAATAGTCTAACATCTCACATTGATTTAAGTTTAATGTCTGAGGAGTGTGAATACTTGGGCTCTTAAAAAACATGCCAATCATTTCTATCTATGGGTATACTTCTCTGTTGGGTGTTTAAGACTACGAAGCTTCAAGTCTGGTCCTCAAGGTCACTGGACCTGAGAGGAACCTCTTTCTCTACTAGCCATCATTTTATTAGTTGTTCCAGCTATGTGAGGACAAAATTAAGTGGTTGTTTGACCATTGATCTCTAGAGAGCATTGAGGAAGAATTTTCTCCCTGTTAATCTTCCTCTTTGTGGAAGAGACACTATTAAAAGTTGACTGGGTGGGGTCTTCATGGCCTCCCAGAACCAGAAAACTGGTGACTCTCCACAATTACTGGATATTTCAAGAGATGCCCCAGAGTCTCCTGGGATCTACTTGAAGTTGGAGGGCAAGAGGACAAAGTATTGTTCCTTTGAGTCCTTCTGACCACATTAGTGCAGACCTACAGACACTGTTATTGAACAGCCATGAGTTCAGTCACACCAAACATGTGCTTTTAACTCTTGTGTGATATTTAGATAAAGTTTGACCAAAACCCAAACACTTTTAAATAGAATTTGACTAGATGTGCATTTTGTTTGGCAAGGTGGTTCTTGTAATTGTTACCAAGAGCAGAACAATAGCTCCATTACTGATTTTTGTAGAGGGATGACTGAATTTTGATACTGGAAAATTTAAGAACATGTATCTTCTCTCTAAGTCTTATCTTTTACATCCTTTAAATAAAGTGCTTAGTTGTTTCAGCTTTCTTTCCCATTCTAGAAATGTCCAGCCTTCTTAATTCTTAGACACAACCCCCCCTTTTTTTTTTACTAAAACTATTTTCATTTTTATATCTTTTAAACATTTTCTACTTATTGGCTTTTTTAATTCCATAAGATATAAGAACATTAATGAATAAATTTATTACTTGTTATGAGAATTTTCTTCTGGGGGAAAGGACTAAGTAATATCTACCTCTTCTTATAGGGTCCCAGTGAAAACTAAAGTTTTATTTCATCAAAGTTTACACTAGGAAATCAAACCAATGAGTTCACTTGGCATATTACAGAGCATGGATGATTCAAGAGTAGTCACATGGAAACACTTTATCTAACATGGATGAAGGCATCCCCATATCCTCAAAAGATGAGCCCCATCTTTTGAGTCTCCTCCAACTTATATACTCTAGCTCTTTCCCAAGAGCACAAGACCACATGACATTAAGGAAGAACTGCATATAACTGGCTGGGAGGAGGGGCTGGTGAGGGTCAGGTGAGCGTCCAGTGACCCTGTCTACCCTTTTCTTCCATGAAGAAACATCAATGTCAACAAGCACAACTGTGATAATCTTTTAGAAGCAGACACAGCAGGAGTCATGGAGATGACAACCATCGGCTTGTGTGATAGTATTGTGCAATACCTCCTTAATAAAAGAAAGTTGAATCAAAACTACATGTGATTATGTAATGTTAATATTACCTGTGGACATGCTGTTAAACTATGGGGCTTGTAAGGTTCCAGGCAAACCTTATAGAAAACACAAGACAGTCAAAAATCTTTTTTGCTTTATACAGTACAGAGGACAATCAACCGTGGCAATGCTTTAGGTTTTGAATAGATATAAGCAGCAGACAGAGAAAAGGCAAAAACTACATTAAGAAATTATCATACTAATGTTTACAACATCTAGGAGAAATCAACTAAGGATGCCTATGTCTAGTTACTTTTCTGTCATAGTGATAAAACACCATGACTGAGGCAACTGGTAGAAGAAAAGCTTATTTGAGGCTGCTTGGGATTCCAGCAGGATAAAAGTCCATCATGGGGTGAAGCACAGCAGCAAACAGCAGCCATGTTGGCAGGAGGAGGAAGTGGAGAGATCATGTCTCAGACGCAAGCACAAAGCAGAATGTGGATTATAAGTAAGGAGAGGTAACATACACTTAATCTTTCCCCCAGTGACATACTTCTTCCAACAAGGCTGCACCCCCTAAACCTCCTAACAATCTCACCAACAGGGGCCCAAATATTCAAATACCCCACCTCATGGTCATTCTCATTTAAACCACCACACCCCATTAAAACCATGATTCTAGATTTATTTACTCTGTGTGTGTGTGTGTGTGTGTGTGTGTGTGTGTGTGTGTGTGTGTGTGTGTGAGAGAGTCTTCTCCATCCTCCCCATGGACTATTAAAAATCTTTTGTCTCCCTTGATCTATCCTGTTTGTTTGTTCATTCTATAGTCAAATAAATATTGTTACCCTCTATCTAGTTGTATTAGTTACATTTTTTTTGTTGCTGTGGCAAACTAGAGCATCCCATTAGCTTCTTTTACTATGGATATCTTTATATTATGAATTAATAACAGTAACTTCTGTTGAATAGAGTTTAGTCTTCAGCTTACAAACAGAACAACAACAGCATCAGCAACAGCATGATGCTGGGATCTGACTCAGATGCTCATGCTTGTACGGCTAAGCCACTTTCCTAGCACCTGGTCTCTTAACCTCTTTCCCTTTCTTGACTAGTCCCCCTACAACTCTCATCTCTCTGTACCCCACCCCCCTACCCTCCCACCTCCTGTAAACCAGTGAGTTTAATTAGGGCTGCATAGAGGAGCATGGGCAATTTACCAATGACTAAACCCAAGAAAAGTAATCATTAATTTCCTATTGATCCCAGGAAGTGGTGGGAACTTGCACCCCCCCCCCCTTAGCAATCTGTACATGGTACCTTGCATTCACTTGAGCAGGCATAACTTTCCTCCCAGGGGACCCAGCTGGACAGAGGGGAGGTACCAAGTGGACAGCTCCCACTTCTGGCAATGTCTGCTTTGAATTTACTGTTTGTAACCTAGCCCTTCCTCCTGTCCTCTCAGACTTGCCTTTAGACCCTGATTATTGCTTCCGGCACAACTCTGCCTGAGATGCCCTGTCCTTTGTGCTTCCTTCCATGTGAACTCTGTGACTTGGCCCCCAAGCTCTGGTTCTATTTCCCATCTTGTTACCTGTGATGGTTTGAACAATATTGTCCCCCACAGGCTCATATATTTGAACGCTTGGTCACCAGGGAGTGATGCTATTGTGAGGTATAGCCTTAGTGGAGTAGGTGTGGCCTTGTTAGAGGAAGTGTGTCACTGGGAGTGGGCTTTGAGGTTTCAAATGCTCAAGCCAGGCCCCATGTCTCTCTCTCTTTCTCTGCCTGCTGCCTGAAGATCCAGACATAGAACTCTCAGCTCCTTCTCTAGCACCATGTCTGCCTGCTGCCACCACGCTTTCACTATGATGATAATGGACTAAACCTCTGAACCAGTAAGACAGCCCCAATTACATATTTTCCTTTATAGGAGTTGCTCTGTTCATAGCATTTCTTCAACAGTTCTAAGAGTTCTTAGTCAGAACTCTGACTAAGACAGAAGTTGGTACCAGAGAGGCCTGACCATGTTTCCTGGCAAAATGCAAACTTTGGGACTTTAGATTCAGAAATCAGTTGGACACTTTAAGTGGGGCATAATGGGACATCCTAATGGGAGCATGGAAGGCCGTGGTGCTGAGGGTGATTTGAACTGTGGGGGTTCAACTCAATAAGTTTCAGAGGGGAAGAATATCATTAGAATGTGGCCTAGAGGTTGTTCTTGTGGTATTTTGGCTAAGAATGTGGCTGCTTTCTTGTCCAGAAAATCAGCCTGAGGCTAAAGTGAAGAGTTTTAGATAAACAGCACTGTCAGAGAGTTCCAGACAGTCTAGTATTGAGCGTGTCATGTAGTTACTAGTGGCCAGTCTTAAGCAGATCTATAATGAAAGCCAAGAAAGGAAAATACAAAATGTACAATTTGAGGAGAAAAGGAGCACCAGGAAAAAGTTTAAAGAAAAGCTTGATGCTAAGTGGAATAAAGGGAGGGGTGACCTCAGGATAAGATCCCATACAACTAAACTTCCATCTTGTAAAAAGGAATTTTAAAAAAGCTCAGGTCCTGGTGTGGTAGTGCATGCCTTTAGATCTCTGAGTTTGAGGCCAGCCTGGTCTATAGAGCAAGTTCCAGGACAGCCAAGCTTAAATAGTGAAGAAACCCATCAAAACCAGAAAGCTGATGAAAATATAATTGAGTGAGGGGGCCATGTTCTAGCCCCAGCAAGCAGCAGAACCTGGTGGCTTTAGCCATGTGGTTCTGGTTTTAAAGTCAAGGATAGAAGAAAGGGGTTACAGAATCTCCCTCATGACTAAGGAAGGTCCCCAAGGCCAGGAATATGTCAGGGGTGTCCCTGCATAAAGAGGCCATTGTGAGAAACTGTGAAGGTGAATTCTGCATTACCCTGGAGACCCCAAGATGTTGGGGTACCAGGACTGTGGGATACCTGCTAATGGAGTGGAACCAGCCCCAGAGAAAGAAGTGTGTGGCAGGCAACATAGCTGAATGGAGTTGGAGCTCTGAAGAGGGCTTTGACCATCAGCTATGGAGATGAAAAGTCTAGAGATTGCCCAGCTGGTTTTCAGTCTTGCTTTGGTCCAGTGTTTTCTCACTATACTCCCTTTACACCCCTTTTGGAATGGTAATGGATATTACATGCCATTGTATGTTGGAAGTATGTGATCTGCTTTTTTATTTTGACTTTACAGGTGATTACAGTTAAGAAATTTCTGTGAGTCTCAGAAGAGACTTTGATCTTTGAACTTTAAAACAAGTTGTGAGACTGGTACAGACCACAGGGGCTTTTGAAGTTGGACTGAATGCAGTTTTGCATTATGATATGGCTACAAGCCTGTGGGAACCAGGGAGTGGAATATGGTGGTTTGAATAAGACTGACTGCCAATAAGCTCATAGATTTGAATGTTTGGTCCCAGCAATAGAACTTTGAGGCAGACACTACCCTCCATTGTGTCTGTCTCCTTATTTCTCTGTGGATCTCTCATATCTTTCCCTTCTTTTCAAGTGGTTCCACTTTATCCTCTGCACCCACTGGTCACCCTTCTTAAATCTGATCTCACTTTGCTACTTCCACTTCAAGATTTCCCTAGTTTTGTCTGTCCACATGGAGCCTTGTGATATTTCTGCCTTCCCTCCTGTTTTCCATGGCCAGCCTAATGCATGCCTTCTCTTTAGCACTTGGGTCCATGGTGCCCTCTCCTGAAGACGTCTTACCCTCTATATTCCATTAAGCTAGTGCCACAGTTTTGTTTTGTTTTTTTTCATGTAGACCGTGGAGATGTGCTCCCTGACATCCTGCCTGTGAAGGGACTGTTAGTGATTATCTAGAAACTCGAAAGTCCCCATATGGCTTCCTGTTCACTACCAGAATGAGCAGCTATGTATGATTACTGGTCAGGAGAAAGGCTGAATGCACAAAAAGATGATGACTAGACCACATAGCACCAGAACATGTCCTACAACTTGCAGCCTCCAGTCTGGGAAACCATACTGTGACACTGTGGTAAGCTGTATAGAGTTGTTGGGATTTGGTCAGCTGCTGTCTGGATTCAGGGTTCGTCTTCCAATAGGATAATTAGGACTGAGCACAGAAAGTCAAATGTGCTACCCAATCCCATAGAGTCTCTGGTTAGCTGTTTTCAGCTTCAGCATGCCAATAGTGCAGCCTCCGGTTACTAAATCTCCCTCTCATCCCATTCTGTCTCCAAGTCTTCCAAACCCGGGGGTTCTTTACCCTAGCTGACTCTGTTGGTCTTGTTATAGAGTGTGGGATTTCCAGATTCTTGTGTCCCAAAACAAGATCTTGGACCAGGAAACCATGGTTAGTGGTAGAAATAGAACCAGTTCATTAAGGGAGAGAAACATTTCTGAGAGGAAGTAGGAGTTCAGTGGCCCTGGGCCTTGAGAATCCAGGCCTCTTCTAGGTCCCTTACACAGCAATCTTCTTCTGCATTTGTGTGTTGTGGGTTGATGTTATCTCTTACATGAAGCCCAGAAGGGGAGGGGTTTCATGCTTTCTGCTAACTGGCTTCTTTCCTATGCTAATCTGATGCCTCACTGGCCCCTTCTCACAGCCTCATTCCAGGGTCTGTTTGGATGTATGGAGCACTGACTCAGGTATGGGACACATGCCAGGGTGGACTGGAGTGGGTTGTGAGATATTCTCTGCACGTGGTGTCAGAGCAGAAAAATTCTTGAAACAGGTTGTTTTGGTAACAGGGGCTTCTAAACAACTAGGTGCCCCGCCCCCAGTTCTTCAGTGCCCAAATGTGCAGGCATTGGAGGAAAACAAATTTTAAAACGGCAAGTCGATACGAGAAGGAAACCTTCTGCATAGGCAGGCAGACCGACCTTTGCTAATATATGCATTACTTTATTCCCTATAAATAATTTTTGTGCTGCTTTCCTGCACAAGTAGGCTTATTATGAAGAAATTAAACAATGCACAAAACATAAGTATTGGTTAGGTAATTTACTTCAAATCTTGTATCTTTGGGATAATTATCCTAATGGAGGCAAATGTGACATCAGGTATCATTTTATGAAAAATACAGATGAAAAGTAACATCCTTGAAGCAAGTCTCTAAAAAGCAGAGAATTGTGGGGACTGGGGATACGGCTTAGTGGATAAAATGTCACCCAAACAAACCTGAGTTCCTGAGTTGAGGGACCCGGTTTCCATTATAACCTGGCATTTGTCTATAACCCCAGCTGGAAGGTGCTGTCCAGGAGGAGGCAGGTTCCCAGGGCCAGCCAGTCTAGCCAAAATAGCAAGTTATTGAGTGGAAGATACTATTTATAATAAAATAAATAATAATAATGTGGAGTATTGTAAGAATCATTAATTAACTATTAGTTCTTTTTCAATCAAACACTGTAAAACTTTTGTTTATGATGAGGAATTTAATCTCCCCTATATTGGAAAACCTTTTTGCAAATATTTTAATCCTCCTCACCCTGCATGACTTGTTTACACAGAGCCCCTGCTACACTCTTGAAACTTAAAATGATTTAAGTCTGAAATCCCGCTTTCCTTCACTTCCTCTACACCAATGCCAAGGCTTTAAAACAGGACAATATGAAAGACTGAGGTTGGCTTTAAAACAGGACAATATGAAAGACTGAGGTTGGCTTTAAAACAGGACAATATGAAAGACTGAGGTTGGCCCTCAGCCAATTGGGCGAAGACACAGTCACCACCTGAGTTAGGATCAAAACCAACTGTACTTCCTGTCTCCTGTCTTGCATGCTTGCCCTTCTGCTGTTATGAGAAGCCCCTTCTCTCTGTCAAGAGCAAGGTCTTGCTTTTCCAAGGCACTTTGGCTTTGCTTGAATTTTCTACACCAGGCATCGACCTCCAGCCTCTACCCCATGCACACAAATGGGTGCATATATTTGCACACACATGCATATACTCCTTCACACATGATTGCACCATACACACAATACACACACACACACACACACACACACACACACACACACACACACAGAGTAGGGCATTGTAATCTAGATTTTTTTAATAACATTATACATATAATTTCACTTGAATTTTTTCTTTTATTTTTAGAATATTCTGTATAACAATTATATAGTAAAGCTTTTCAAGTTGAAGGCTTTCTACTTCATCTCAGTTCCTCTATTTTCACTTGAACTTGACAGAAGGAAAGGTAGAGGTAAAATTAATAAGTCTTTGAATACATGTTTCTTCACTATGAAACGTGATTATATAATATAACAGTAATTATATCAGATATAATTATTATATAATATATTATTTTATAATTATATAACATATATAATTATATAATATTATATAATGTGCCTCTTTAAGAGCAGTAAAAAGGTATGAAAGACGTTGAGGTTGTGAGGTTTTTAAGTGCGTGCTTTGATTTTACCCAGTTTCAGCAGAGCATCTACAGTGAAAGATAGGAAGAGCATCTCCCTCTGGTTTCCCCGCTGCTCAGCTCTTGGTGGCTCCTGGTGGCTCCTGGTGGCCCTTGGCTGTCTGCTGTGGGATGGTCTGTATGTCAAATTTCTCTGATTGGTCAATAAATAAAACACTGATTGGCCAATGGCCAGGCAGGAAGTAGGTGGGACAAGGAGAGAGGAGAATTCTGGGAAGCGGAAGGCTGAGGCGGAGAGACACCGCCAGCTGCCGCCATGACAAGCAGCATGTGAAGACTCCGGTAAGCCACAAGCCATGTGTCAAGGTATAGATTTATAGAAATGAATTAATTTAAGCTATAAGAACAGTTAGCAAGAAGCCTGCCATGGCCATACAGTTTGTAAGCAGTATAAGTCTCTGTGTTTACTTGGCTGGGTCTGAGCGGCTGTGGGACTGGCAGGTGACAAAGATTTGTCCTGACTGTGGGCAAAGCAGGAAAACTATAGCTACAGCTGTCGTTCTGCATCTGTCTTTGTCTGTGCCGTTTGCAGTCTCTCCCATAAACATGGCTGCTGTGCATATCCAGCACTGACAGGGCACGCGAGCCCCTTCAAGACGCTCATCAAGATTTGCTCCTGACTTCCCCGCTCCTAAGTTCCAACTGGCTGCCTTTCACTATGGGGAGCTTTTTGTTTTATTGTTTTCTTTTAAAACTGAGCTCAGGATATTGTATTTCATAAGATGAATCGCCCCAGCGATGATCTACCTAGAGTCGTTGATTTGAATGTAGTCTTTATTTCAGTAGACTGTTCTTTATTTCCCTGAGAATATGTGGGACTAATTTCAGGTCCCAGAGGCACTGCATGGCGACAAAGAGAAATTCGATGCTGTCTCTTTGCTGACTACCCCCATTGCAACTTTATAACTGACCTGTTGGAGAGTAATTGACATGCTTGGTTTTCCTGGAATCTGGCTTGTACCTTCAATGTCATCAACTAGAAATGGATTCTGTTCTTTGGGGGAAAGGGTCCCTTGCATGTGACAGGGTGGCTTTGTTTCTATTGGATGGGAGCACCCTTTAAGTTACCCTTAGGTTACATCGAATTTTTCTTTCCCATCCATCTCTACTGTCTTCCCACTGGCTGCTTAGCTTGTCTGGAAGGCCCTGCCCCCATAGCTGTCAGGAGACTAGCTCTTCCCAGTTACAGTTTGCCCGGGGCTGGCGGCATGAGTTCTTGGTGCTGTTTTGTTTTCAATCTCAGCCCTTAAATGTGTACTGCCTCCCCTGGTCATGCCCTGTGGCTTTCTTTTCCCTCTCCTAATATTTTGGACTTAGGTCTTTCGTGTATATGTGTACGTATTTGTGTGCTCGCACACTGGTATGTGCACGTGCACTTGCGTGGCTGTAGTGGTTTGAATGACAGTGTCCTCCCTAGGCTTAGATGTTTCAACACTTGGTCCCCAGTTGGTGATGCTGACTGGGAAGGTTTAGGAGGTGTGTCCTTGTTGGAGGAAGTAGATCACGGAGGGCAGGCTTTGAGCACTTAAAGACCATCACCATTTCCAGTTTGTTCTCTCTGCTTCACGCTTATGGAAAAGAATGTGAGTTCTTGGTTTCCTGATCCAGCTGCCATGCCAGCCCCTCTTCCCATGCCTCCTCTCCACCGCCCTGCACTCTTATCTCTCCGGAAACAGGAGCCAAAGTACAATCTTTTCTAAGCTGCTTTGGTCATTATCACAGCAACAGAAAAGTAACTAACAGTGGACTGTAACCATAACTTTTCTCAGGTCCCTCCCAACCCCATGGTCCCTCAGCCACTTATAACATAGTCATTCAGAGGCTTAATATTAATTACCAATTATATGGCCTATGGCAGGCTTCTTGCTAGCTAGCTCTCATAACTTAACCCATTTCTATTAATCTATAAGTTGCCACGTAGCCATGGCATTACCCGTCTGCTGGCATCTCCCCCTCCTCTCCTTTCTTCTCTCCATATATCTGCATGGATTTCCCACCTGCTTCTAAGCTGCCTTGCCATAGGCCGATGCAGCTTTATTTATCAACCAATCAGAGCAACACATATCCACAGCAGACAGAAAGACATCCCACAGCAGTGGATGTCTGTGTAGAGGCCAGAGGTCAGGATGGGATGTGGTCCTCAATCATTCTCCATCTTTTTTTTCCCCACCTTACTTTTGGGGACAAGGTTTCTCATTGAATCTGGAGCTTGCCAACTTGACTACCCTGGCTGGCCAGTGAGTCCCAGCCTTTTATTTTAATGGGTTCTTGGGAATTGAACTTAGGTGCTCTCACTTGTGTGGTGAGCACTTTGCTGACCAAACTATCAACCCAACCCTGGACTTGTGTTCTTATTCAGCTGCCCTATGAAATGGAGCAATGGGATTCATTTCCTTGAATTTGCATTTTTTTTTTTTTTTTAGTATTTTTACTAGATTACTTATTTAGGCCTTTTACACTGTATATATATTTATGCTCATCTACTCTTACCTATACTTTTTTTTGCGGGTAAGTTTACATAGTTACTGTGTTATTTCTCGTCTCTCACTCAGGCCTGTGGAAGCTTGTCTGTCCATGCTTTATCAGTCTGAGTGAAGGAGTCCCTCCCTCATCCTCTTGGAAGCCAGCTTACTGCTTCTTTCTAATTAGCACTGGAAGGCAGTTGTGGGCCTTGGGTTCTGGCAGGTCTTTGTATTACAAGTAGACAGAGGAGGACCACCTCTGCCTGGGCCACTGGAAAGATGTCGATCACAGTAAACACACCGTTCCGTTCTGTTAATGGCAATGTTGGTGCTGATGACAAGTTCCTTAAACTCTTACCTTGTGTATTCCTTTTGATATTTATTTTCCTATAAATAAGCAAAGGTAGTGGGGCATGTTAGGTCAGGAGCTATGGCTTCACAAATCAGGCCACAGCCTCCTGTAACTTCGCCCTTGGAACACAAGCGGACAGACATCTATTGTGACTGCCCAGCATCCCCACCTCAGATAGGGAGGTTAGTAAACTGAGGTTCTGCTGCCCACACCCAGGGTAACCTAACATTTGGGCTTTATTCTTATCACAGTCCCCCTGTATCCCCAGTATGTAGCCTCCTAAATCACATAAATAGGCTTATAGTAAAATCTATGATGCTTATAGCCCCTGCTGTTTCCAGAAACCTGTAACAGTCAGGAACCCCTGTGTCCCTTGGGTAGTTCCTCCAGTTGACAGTCAGCTGAACTCACTCTGCTCATGGAAAAGCATCAATAAAAGGCCTTTTGCTTGAAACTTGTTTCAGGTCCCCTCTGCTCTATCAGGCATGCAGAAGAGCATCTTACTTTTTATGTAACAAGGGACAGATTGGATTCTCTCGTTAATTTCTGTGCAAGTCTCCCTGGTTACCCTGACTACCTTGTACAAGCAGACTGTCAGTCAAACAGCTGTCCACACTAAACCGAACGCCGGTTTGAACACAGTTGGCTGCCGCCAGAAAGCTCCGCAGTAGTTGCAGCACTTTCTCCGGGATGCTTGAACCCAGTGCGCATCAGATGCTTTGCTGTCACAAGCCTCCATGAACTCCCATTGACCCTGCAAGCATTCCCACCTAGGTAGACACAGAGATGTGGTGCTTCCCCTAGCGGTTCAGCGAGGAACTGCTGGGATTGCAGACCAAGAAGAGGCTTGGTCCAAACCACACTTCAAAGGCTGATTTGTGTTAAGAGGCAAGGCTGTGTGAAATAGTTATTTGTATGTTGCTGCGATAAAACACCATTACTAAAGCAACTTATAAAAGAAGGAGTTTACTTGGGTTTCTGTTCCAGAGGGTTGAACATCCATCATTGTCAAGGAAATGTAACAGTAAGTAGCCTAGGGGCTGAGGGCCCACATCTGGAACTGAAAGCCCTAAGCAGAAAGAGTGGACTCAAAACAGCTTGAGTATTTAACTTCTCAAAGCCTTCCTCTCGTAGCCTACTTCCTCCAGCAAGACCATGTCTCCCCCAAATCTCCTAAACACCATCACAAACTGGGGACCAAGTGTTGAAATGCTTGAGACCATGACTCATTCAAACCACCATGCTTTTATTGGTCCACAAATTGGCTGTGACTTGTCCTAACATCCCTTTTGGGGCAGTTCAATCAGACTTCTGAGGCTCGTAATGAGTCAGCTCAAGATCCTTTTCTGTGCTTCCTTCCCCTGCTCTTGGCCTGGTATGTGGTCAATCTTGTCTCTGTTCTGATTTTGCAAGGCAATCCCAAGAAACTCTTACGGCTTGAAGAGATAAATTAATGCTCAGGGGTGATGACTTCTGCTGCAGGGTAAAGTCATCATGAGTAACTGACCTTATCTGAAGGTTGGTCTGTGCAGCAAGAGTCTGTTGTTTTCAGGGATTCAAGGAGACAACAGGGTTTGGACAGTGACAACAAACCTCGGGACATTATAAAAGCTAATAGCAAGGTGCCTCAGATTTGTGTATGTCTGTGTCCTCAGTCTTGAAGGCAAATGAAATAGGTTAGGTATCACCAGTTTCCAAACAGTTTCTTGTGATGGTTAACATTGGTTATCAACTTGAAAGGACCTAGAATCTCCTGGCCCTAATTCCTCCTCTAGCTCTGTCCCTGATTGTTGATGTGATGTGACAAGCTGGTCCCTTGCTTCTGCCACCATGCTGTCCCTGACACAACGGACTCTCTTCCTCTGGAACTATGAGCCCAAATAAACCCATTCTCCTTACAGTGCTCTCGTCAGGGCTTTGTTTGTCTGTTTATTTTTTTTTTAAGATCACAGCCTCATTGTTAAAGCAATGAGGAAATTCAAGATGACCAATATGCCACATGCAGAGATAAACAAGTGACTCAACATACAGGATACAGTCACAAGAAGCAAGCCAGGCTGCCAGGCTTTCCTTCTGCTTGTAGCTGTCCTGAGGAACACAGTGTGGAATCAGCACCTTTTAGCAAAAGCAGTTCCTAAGTGCCTCTTATTCCAGGACAAGGTCCACTCACCTGGGGGTGTTCTGAGTCTGCTCTTCATAGACCCCTTGGCCCTGTCATCTTTAGGCTATTCTGGCTCCAAGTACATTGTTCAGCAAATGCATCCTCCATGTATCCAGTATCTTCTCTCTCTCTCCACCCTCCTGTCCCTGCTGGACCTGGACATCTATCTTCTGAGCCTCTGAATCTCTTAGCTTCTGCCCCACAAGTTAGATAGAGATTATGGTGGTCTGGGTTTGAGTA